AGAAGAAGAAGAAGAAGAAGAAGAAGAAGAAGAAGAAGAAGAAGAAGGGAAGAGGAGGAGGAGAAGGAATTGACCATGAAACATAGGCCATCAATGGCTGTTTTTTTTTTTTTCATTATAAAAAGGGTTCGATTTCTTTTTGATTCGCAAAGTTTGGAAGAGTTTGGAAAAATTCCTTCGCAATTTTTGCCCGCTTTGCCCTCTGGCGAGAGTCTTTTTCTAATTTGGGGGGATTTTCAATCTGGTTCTCAGTCCTGGATTTATTTATTTTTTTCGCCCTTCATTTGGTCGAGTTCTCGCTTCCCGTTTTTCCTCCCTGGTCAAAAGGGGTATTTTGTCCTCCTGGGACGGGGCTGGGCGAAGGCTGGCGGCTCTGTGAATGGCTGCTTTGTTTGGGCAGAGAGCAAAACGTTGTAAACAGCTTTTTGCGTGTGTGTGTCTGTGTGTGTGTGTGTTGGTGTCTGCCTTGCCTTCCCTTTCTCCGCGCTGGTGCCTGAAACAAAACAAAAGAAAGAAAAAAGAAAGAATAAGTCGCTTGAGCCCGATAGAAACACCCCATTCCAGAAGGAACAGAGAATAAAAAGAGTCGGAACGGGCCTCAAGAGGTCATCCAGCCCAACCCGCTGCTCAAAGCAGGAGATCCCATACAGATCAACAACCCGTTTGTTTACGGACGGTACAAACTTAACAACGGCACTGAAAGAAGTGAGCGTTTTTCCCACTCGCGACCGTCGCAGCAATCCCCCGGGGTCACGTGATCAAAATTCGGACGCTTGGCACAATGGACTCGCCTTTACGACGGTCACAATTGGGGTCACGGGCACATATTATCATATGTGGTGGACATGTGCGAAAGCAAGGAAATACATGCCTGGTGAGAAAAAATGTTTAAACAGCACATAGATGATAAGGCAGAAATATTTTTTGTTAGACATAATACCAGGAAAATATGATAAAGAGAATATATATTTAGAACTGCATATCCTAACAGTAAGAATTGTATTTGCACAGCTCTGGAAAAATGCTAAATAAATACTCTGCTAAACAAATAATTCCCTCAACACTGTCCAACTATTTACAAAGTCTGCACTACTATCACTATTAATCTTCTCATCACTCCTTATCACCCATCCCCTCCCACTTGTGACTGTATGAGTGTAACTTGTATCTTTACAATTTTTATTGACTGTTTCCTAGTATGATTTGATTGCTTATTGTCCCCTGTGACTAATATTAAGTCTTATATCTTATGATTCTTGACTCTTGACAAATGTCTCTTTTCTTTTATGTATACTGAGAGCATTTGCACCAAGACAAATTCCTTGTGTGTCCAGTCACACTTGGCCGATAAAAGAATTCTAATTCTAAAATGAGGAAATACCCCCCAGAAGAAAGTGTAATGAAAAAAAAAAAAAAACTAGATTGCACAGAAACGGATAGGTTGACATTAAAGACAAAGGATAAAGAAAGTACAGAATATATCTCAATAAGGGATTTGTTTTACCAATGACTAGACAATAGAGGTAGAAATTAGAAACTGGAAAAAAAATTACTATATATAAGCAGATAGACCCAGACAATACAAAGTTCGCGAAGCATTTGTGTACGTTAAAGAAAAATGTATAAATTAAACTATATAAGAAAAGAATAATAAGGCTTCTGTCCTGGGAAAACGCCGGTCAAATTCACCCCCAAAAATAATATTTTGCAAGACTGGGAGACTCCCTCGACCTGTTTTGGGTTGGGGAAAATAAACCAAACTTTTGTGGCTTGGGTGGCTACTGAGAACATTCCAGATGGAAATTGCAGCTGTCCTGGGAAGGGAAAAAAAAGAAAAAAAAACCAGGACTGGGTTGCTTAACTCTTTCTTGGGGACCGGAAATGAAAGAAAGAGAAGAATGAAAGGCCAGCAGAATTCAGACAGCTGGAATGAGGGCCCGGCCCTAGGAAATAGCTGGGATTTGTCATTTGACTCTTGCAAAATCAGATTTTAAATGTTTTGCAGGGAGAGGTTGCAAGGGCCGGGCGCCCTCTGGTGACGGACGGCGGGTATTGCACGCGGGTGTCAAGGCGTAAAACCTTCCTATGCCTGTTTTCCGTCAACTCGTAAAATATTTCTATGGTCTTTTTAGAGTTGACATAAATAAGGGAGGGGGAGGGGAGAAATCTGAAGGGGGGGGGCAGTTTAAAACCAGAAGTACATTCCAACTCTTATCTTACAAAGGTTGTAGCTAGGCTACCGGATCTCCTGCCCGGGAAAAAATCCTTCATTGGAGAATGTGATTGTTGACACCCAGCCCAGGTGCTTTGTTGGAGAATCTGATTGATGACACACCCAGGGTGGAGGGGGAGGAAAGAGGGTCACAGGTGACCGTAAATTACGTATTCCAGAGTTGGCTTCATACGCCGTAAATTTTCTTCATCCAGCGATGTCTGCAATTCGCAAAAGTACAATGAGGACGATCCGTACTTCTGTCGGAAAGGTGTCTTCCCGTTCATTGGCTCCGCCTCCCGTGCTGCTCCTGGCTCCGCCCCCCAAGCTAGCATTTTCTTTTGGCTCCGCCCCTTTTCCCCATGGTCCTTTTGGGTCTCCAAGCCAATCGACCCAACGGATTGGCTTTCTCCGTTTTCGAGATCCCACACCGGTACCGGACGTTGCTGTCCAGCCTGACCTGAACTGATTTTGGCCCCGTTTAACCCAGGACAAAGTCAAGAGCCCGATTCAATAATTCATGCCATCTCCTTGCATGATTTATGCCGAAATAGTTGAGATGTCCTTCAAGTTCCCAGCCCGTAACACGAACTCGGATCCTTTGCTCGTCCCGATATCTGGTTTCACGGCGCCTCTGTTCTCGCCCGATTCTGGTTCCACAAAGGTCCTTTTCACCTCAATCATCCGAGCGGCCTCTGGGGACAATCCTTATTGTCCACGCGGAGCTGGCCAGAGACACTCGATCCCCCGTCTCCTATCTTGTATCGGTTACCCCTTCAGTGAGGCCAAAACCTCCCTGGATAGATGGATAAATAGGTAGACGGAAGGGAAGGGAAGGGAAGGGAAGGGAAGGGAAGGAAGGAAGGAAGGAAGGAAGGAAGGAAGGAAGGAAGGAAAAAGGAGGGAGGAATATAGATAGATGGATAGATAAATGGAAGGGAAGGAAGGAGGGAGAAAGGATAGATAGATGGGTAGATAAATAGGTGGATGGAAGGGAAAGAAGGAGTTATGGCTAGATAAATAGGTGGATGGGAAGGAAGGAAGGAAGGAAGGAAGGAAGGAAGGAAGGAAGGAAGGAAGGAAGGAAGGAAGGAAGGAAGGAAGGAAAAAGGGAGGGAAGAATATAGATAGATGGATAGATATATAGGTAAATGGAAGGGACAGAAGGAATTATGGTTAGATAAATAGGTGGATAGGAAGGAAGGAAGGAAGGAAGGAAGGAAGGAAGGAAGGAAGGAAGGAAGGAAGGAAGGAATATAGATAGATGGATAGATAAATGGAAGGGAAAGAAGGGAAGGAGGGAGAAAAGATAGATGGGTAGATAAATAGGTGGATGGAAGGGAAGGAAAGGAAGGAAGGAAAGAAGGAAGGCGTGTTCTCCCTCCCTCCAAGTTGCTCTTTAGACAGACAATGCCAGAGGTTTTCGCGACGCAGGTGCCTTCGTTCAGCATCCTTCTCCCCCCCCCC